TTAAAATTCGTACACAGAGAAAGGGTATATTTAGGTCTTGGAAAAGTTTTGTAATTTCCGAACAATTTTGAGCCTGATCTGCCGTTGCACATGCGTTGGGGATTTAGAGTTTATAGCAGCATATGTTCCATGTAAGAAGAATTTTACATTCTTCTTTACCATTAACAAGACGCCATATAGGACTCATATAGTTTGCAATGGATATGGACTATATTGTATTCTTCATAGGGAGCATTAATAAGGGGACAGGTCCAATGGCATTTGGATGGACATTTCACGGTCTTGAAAATGCCACAGTTACAAACATTTTTCAGACCGAAAGAAACCCTTTCTTTGAATAGGAGGTTTGAAGATGTGATCTGCTACAAATTTAGTACAAGAAAGGATATTTTTGAGCATGTTTTCTACAACATACCTGAATCTATAAGGGCATCGAAAATCAACAAAAAGGAATGCATACTATTTAAGTGATCTTTTTTTACCGAGTGTAGTTTTTTTCAGACAGCGAAGAAGAAGCACATTCGAAAGCCGGCTGAAATATTCTGAGATGATGTCGCACGATAATCTATATTGCAAGAGAACTTAAGCTATCGAAGGCGCAGCGTTGAATTTCGGTTACCGTTAAATTCTGTCACCCAACTAGATTTTACTTACTAGTTTCGAATTGCACCCTCTTACGTTTCATATGTTCCGACTAGCTCGGACCCTCATTTGAATTTTTAGATACTTATACCGAGTTTTTGTCACAACAAATGTGACTTACCGCATGAATGCTATCACAACAATGCTATTGTCCTGACAGCATGTTGTCCGATGGCTCTCGGACACTGGACGACCAGCCACACTGCTTCCAAATACTTTTCCAAGTTTACCAGCCATATCAATGCTGGTCATATTTAACTGCTTTCTTTCAGCGTCGAGGCACGTCAATTTGCCAGGCTGACTGAACTCGCCGACGACCTGCTAGGCAGCGGCGACTTCGACATTTACCAAAAGACCAAGGAAGTCATTGACGACTATGTGGCAACGGCACGTGAGGTTGGCGAGGAGAACGAATTGGATGCATTTGGTGCTGCCATCGATGACGCCCAGGGGCTTGAACCGCCTGCGGGTACGTCAAGTTGAGCTGTTCTTTTGCTGAGCCCAACGTGCACTTTTTTGCAAATTGCCAAAAAGGGATGGGATTTCTGACAGTCTTTAGGCAAGGCTGTGGCTACGTCTAGTGGGCTGTTCCTCATAAAAAGGACAGTAGTTTCGAAGCTTCGATCACTGTCATTCGTTTTTCCCATGAGACGTCGACGGCCTCTGCGTTTCAAGTATGTAACTTTCGCTAGACCATGTAGGCTATATAGTGGATTCTTTCTAACCAGGTATCTTAGTGACCCTACCTTCAAGACGGAGGTTTGCGAACCACGTGTCGAGAAGTATGCTTAATCGCTCGGGTATTGTGTTTATTCCCCTCGCATATTGACCCTCTGAGGGTAGTGAAATGGCAATCTCTTACAAGTACGCTAGCTTGCTTCCAGCTGATCGCGAGCGACGCATCCTTTGGTTAGTTGGACGTTCACCGATCTGGCCTGTTTGCCGGACGAAATGCACCCTTTCAGTTCTACCATGAAGTTCTAATCTAGGGTCCTTACAGTCCCTCAGATTAAAACACTCCTTCAGCCAGATCTTGATTCATAAACACCAATCCGGTGTACCTCTTAATCTCCCTGATCACAACCTGCAGAGGAGGAAACCACTGACCCAATTGGTAATGCTCCCCCAACTTAGTCTGCCTTCAAACCGTGTTTGACTTGTCTTCACACACATGTGTGTTTGTGTGTTTCAGATTCTGAGGAACCGTCCTCGGTACAGACCAAGTGGTTGATGAAAAAGGGCAGCGCCGATGCGGACTCTGAAGTTGAGGGACCGTTTACCACGGAAGACCTAAAAAAATGGTTGCAGACTGGCCTCTTTGCCAAACCGGACAAGGTGTTTGTCTGCCGGCAAGGGAGCAATGAAGCATTCCGCGCCCTCACAACTGTTGATTTTGATAAAACATAGCCATTTTTTAAAAAATAACATTAAACTTTTTAAAATTTTTTTGCTTTCATATGCAGGGACTCCCGGCATAAAAATTGCCCACTGGAAGCCAGTCTGAGAACAAATAGGCGGTATCATTACCTTCATGACTATCCCTTTGGGAAAATTCCGCAGGAGCGACCGGTACGATAAGATGCAAAAAATGCCGGTAGCTGGCAGCAGTTGTTCTTGTTTGAAAGTTTGTTTGCCGCATCATGAGGCTGTCATCTGCGAGCCCCGAAGATAGCCGGAAATAAGTATGCAGACTTTAGAAAGTCCAACCGATGGTCCGGTTAAGGTTTAGCTACATTCTCGTTAGGTCCGGAGAAAGTAGTGATGTTCCGTCTGAGGGCACTCGAAAAACATCGCAAAACTAAGGAAACCTCATCGGCCTTCTAGACGAGCAACCCTGTGTAGAAAATCACTGTCTGAAGTACAGTAAATTAAAACGAGTGGGGTCAGTTTGACAGTAGTCGGGGGCTACATGATCTAGTGACGTATGAACGCTCGTGACCTAGACGCACGTATGGCCAAGCAGAAGTTGATCGAGTGGCTGCACATCAATGAGCTTAGGACCGCCGACTGAGGAAGTGGATGGTCTTGAGGCAACTGGGTCCTAAAAATGGACCTTAGACGTCTGCAGGCAAAAGCTCCCCTCTCCCTACAGACGGAACTAAGCGTTGATGTCGGTCGTCAGGCGAAGGATGAGGCGAGCGAATTGATGCGGGCGTGGCAACGTATGACGATGACGGAAGCTGCCCCCCCGACCGCGTGCGGGGCTGAGGCAGCGGCCTGTGCAGAGGTACGAGTGGGACATCAGACAAATGTGCTGGCCTGATCTCTTCAAGCTGTGCCGATGAGTTGGCATGGGAAGGAGGGAAATCTCGTTCACAGCGCACCCCAGTGATCGCTGAGTTAGACGAATGTGTCTGGTTCGCTGTCATCCAGACAAAAGTAAGGTAGAATGCAGTGTCAAAAGTTTGAAATCTAATCGATGTGCATGCAGTTGCAAGTCGAGTGCAGGAAACTGATTCGTAAATGATGGTTTCGTCGGTAATGGGTTGAGGAGTGTCTCGATCAAGGGAAATACCCACCTCGAAGGCAGCTCATTCGGATAGTTGATCTACGCGATTTGATTCTGATTTAAACTGGAGGTGTGCAGCTGATTTTTGTTAACATCCATCTCTATTTGTGAAAAGGTATCGGAAACTGCGTCTTCGTGTCCGTGGGCGCTATGGGTGGCGGAGAAAGCAGCAGAGTGAATTCGGGTCAGAATTTCGCGGCAATTAAGATCAGCCATGTCTGGCAGTTGCACTTCGACAACGTTGGGGGCACCAGTATGAAACGTCTAAGCAGTTAGGGTCTACCCACAGCGGTAGAATCAATAGACCAAGCCCCAAGTAGCAGGAGAAAACGGCGGGGCGAGGTCGAGTGGCAGTAGGTCAGCCAATCTTAAGGCGCTTGGCTGGGAGGTGAGAGATCTTGGGGCAGCGGGATCCTGAATAGGGACGCCAGACGTCGTAATGGTGGCTGCCGACGACACACATACTAGACTGAACCTGTAGCCAACAGCACGCCACAATATGGGCTGCTCCCTCGGCCGTGATCCCCGGTCTTGAACCTCGATATTGTGGGTGGTAGTGCTTGGGGTTAAGCACTACAAATCCGTGACGTCAACCACCTTAACTCCCTATCTACAAAATAACCGGGGTTTATTATGCGTAGTTTCGCATTTGGAAGAGCCACGTAATTTAGCATCTGCTTCAGTCTGTCCCTCAGTCGCACAGTCTCTGAAGATGGCAAATCAACTGATGGATGCCCGTAGCTTTCTACCTTCATCCATCTTTTTTACTAGTATACAAATGTTAGGACAGTTGGTAGACGATTCTGTCTTGTCTTTGAGCCCCGATTGTAAAGAGCAATTGTCTATACCCTGCCCTGCAATCAGGAATTGACGAAAGTCATCTCAAGGTGACTCAGTCACAAGATTATCAGAACTTTGCCCATGAAGTTTCTTCTCACAGGTAAGCCTTAGCTGGGCCTTTCAGTAGATCCCAGATGCACTTGAAGATGTTTGAACGACGGCGGTGACTATATCCTTTGGTATTTTCTATTTATCTCGGATGCTGCTTACTCTTTATGGTGCAACTCAAGCCTTCAATGCTTCTATTCTTGAGTCTTAATTTCATTCAGATTTAAATTGATGAGTCGCCGGAAGACGGTCTCGAGAATACCATACACTCACAAAATCTGCTGTTATCTTATCGTTTTTGAAAACTTTACTGTTATAATCAGCCCTAATTAGACATGTCTCCTGTGCGCCCTCTATCAGACTTCTCGGTCGTTAGGTAGCTTCCGACGCCGTCAGCTTCCCTGCGTCGAAGGCTACGAAAATGGAAGTTGTCCGCTCCCCATGTCCAAGCGCCCGCCGTAGTTGTCTGTGGGAACGATTAATTCGAACTACGCGCTGATTAGGCTGGGTATAACTACTCTGCGATCGAGTCCGAGGAATCCTTTGGAGACATCTGATGACGTTCGTGGTACAGTCCACCGTACTAGGTCTGCCGTGGTGGGCGTGACTCAGAAAGTTTTTCGTCTGTGCTGTACCACAACAGCGTATTGGAGGCCTCGGCAGCCATTTTACCCTTTTCTCAATTATGCTGTCAGCCTCCGAAATCCCTTTACGGGCGTGGGCTTTCAGTCGTCCATTGAATGGTCTTTTGTCATCATCTAGAGGGCAGATTCTACTAGTCGACCGACCGCTGGCCACTTGCCGTTAATCTTAGTTTTCATTCTGGCAGATACAACCCGAGTAGTACAAACTAAACGGACTTAATTTATAACAATGTCAAGTGGACTTTCGTTCCATCTTAGACAAGCAAAATGGGATAGCTGGTGTACCGGTCCGTCTCCCTTCCTTCAGTTCGCCAGAACTAGCCGATGGAGTCAATTCTGTCGAGATGGGTGCTAGAGGGGGACGAAAGAAATGTGAAAATGCTCCTGGTTGCTTCAGTGTGACCGAATGGGCCTCTTTACTGTGAACTAATGGCGGCATCATCATCTGCTGCTGCTGCGTATTCATTGGCCCCAACGTTCAGTTAGTGTCGAAAAGTATGCCCTGCAAAACTTCATCACTAGTGTTTGCATTACTCAAAAATTTATTTCCAGCAGAAAAGAAACAAGAACGCTCAGACCTGGGGGAAGGTCAACTTGAATTACTGGACATTAAGGTGACCCAGCATGTCAGGATATCACTGGACGGATTTCCAACTCATTTCTTGTACTTTAGCCATACGATTATGTACATAATTAGTCTTCAAATAGTTTAAGGGCTCCTGTCATCCCCTAATCGGTCAAGGTCTCTGCACTTTAGGCAGCACAAAAGGGCAGGAAGAGAGAACGTTTTCGGAAGGACCAACGTTTATAGAAAAGTATAAAGGTATAACAGGTGTATAAAAACGTTAATCTCGTAGAAGCTGAGAAATAACATTATCTGAGTGCATCTGAAAAACCTTTACCACCTGTAATTCAGCCTGTCCACATTGACCCAACGTATAACACTGAAATAGACCTTTTTCGATGGAAAATTTTCCGACGCACCTGAAAGCAAAAAAAGTTATTCCACCTTGTAATATGTAAATACCGGAAGCCGTGGAACCTTCACTGGGTATTTTTCTCATCTATGAAGTGGGGTCACTGAGGTCTTGATGTTTAATTTGTTTTGAGGGTTTTTTTTGTTAGAATGAAACTGACTAATCGACTGTTGGGTTTAGTGAGGGACTGAAGTGGCTTTGAACATGAAGCGGGTACCCTAGGGTCGGGGCACGACTGCTCACCAACGGAGGAGTCGGAAGTATCTACATAAGTCCTTCTTTTATTGGATTCATTATCGGTTCTTCCATTGGATGGGTTCCGCCTATGTCTTAATACTTCATTACTTTGGCAAATTTCTATGTTAGGAGATCTTTTAATTAGTGTATCTCAACTGAAGCTCAAGTTGTTGTGATGGCTATTGTTGTTGTCAAACTTAACCATTTTTATTTAAACGTATAGTCTGCATTTTCTGAGAGACTGTCTTAACATGTCTTTTTATTCATCCAATGAGTTTATTACCCATGGCGCTGAACATTTCGACTGCCAAAAGCATCAACAGACTGCAAAAAATATACTTTATAAATAAGCGTCATTTACACGAGGAACCAATTAAACGCTAAGTGATTGCCATAACGGATTTGGCGTTGTATTAATTTTCTTGGAAATCGATGCTTACCTATAAACATCTCCAACGTTAATATCTGGATTAACTCCATCAATGTCACTGTAGAGACATTTCAGCCGCACAGGATGCGGGCGGTTTTCCAGTTCCTGCAGTTCGAAATAGAAATTCTTATATGTGCTGGACTCATTTGGCGATATCGAAAGAATGCCGACGGTCTCGAGTATGTAGGAGAGTTGACTAATCCTGTTGAGCGCCAGAGTAAGACCCCGAATACGGCGCAGGTGAACACTAAAAACGCGGAGACCGCTGTTTGCATCTGCCTTATTCGTCTCCTCATTCCTTCGTTTTCGATCGGGAAACTGGCTGGACTGCTGTTGCATTTGACGCGTGCTGTGGTCACCATTTTTGTAGAAAGCAAATGGAGGACTTGGGGTTGCCTTCGCATTCGAGTCTAGGCCGGACCATTCGAACCCTCTGCCACATAGGCAAATATTTGATACTTACCGCTTCGGAGATGGGTACGCCAATTTAGGTGTAAGAAGACTGTGGCACGGCGTATTTTGTAAATTCCCGTTTGTTACAGTAAACCTTGGAAACTGCATCTAGTTCCTGTGTTAATAACAAATACTAGAGCTTAGGGAGTGCCTATGGATAAAACCATATTATCACTGAGTTTTCATTATTGAGGTCATTTTAGATAAACTACTGTAGTCAGCCTGTCTCATGAAATGCCTTTTTGAATCCTGGAATGTGGTTTCTATCAGAAAGAATTACTTAGGTGAGGGTGTGAAATCGACTGTCAAGCAGCATAATTCCAGGATAGCACGGTCACGCCAGAGTGCCGACTTTCGAATGAGCTTCTTCCTGGTCGCCTGCAAAAACCACTGTCCATAAAAATGACCACTTGTGTAGTGTTTATTTCTTTGATTGGTTTTTGACACTGCTAATTTTACTATATCTTATGGAGAACCTAAACAAACTATTTTTGCTTTTACTCAACTGATAGTAAACTACGTCTTATTCAAACTACATACTTGAAGAAGTAATACTTTAGGTTTTGGAAACTTTACGGCTCCCGAATTATTTGAACACGACCTGCAGTTCCGCCTGCATTTAGGGTTTTAAGACTATATGCCGCATACTTCCTGTGTGAGGAAAAACGTATATTCCCTTATGCTGTAGAGCGATGCTATTCAGATTCCTTAAAATAGTACAACGGATGTGGACAATGTTATACATTTAGTTAACGATCCTAGTAAATGGACAGATATCATACTATATGAATGAACACTTCGCTGTCTTTAAAATTTCAAAAGTATAGGTCTTTTAAAACTGACTGAACGCATTTCTTATAGTGCGAAATTTAAAGACGTAGGTTGCCACCAAATACGTACAAATAGGACGTTCTTATGCATTTTCTGTAAAATATTTTTGGATTTTTACGGCCATCGAGAATCAGTGGGGGAATGCATAACATTTAAGCAGAAATTCCCTACCGAGTGCACTTTTTATAGGCAATCGAAAAGGAGCTCATTCAAACGTCAGCCTCCTGGCTTGACTGAAGTGTTAATATTGCCACCGCACCTGGATAAACCTTTCTAATCGAATGCACATTTTAGAATTTGTGATTAACATTTCATGAGGTGGACCAGCTACTGCATACGCAGTAATGTCACAGGCAATCGACTAAAGATCTCCAGTAGGCAAAATTTACGTAGTCATAAAGTTAAAGGATGCTTGCCGCATCTACAACCAGTGGAATATAATTCAGAAAGTCAATAAATTGAGTACTGATATACATGTATGGTTTCAAAGATAGCAAGGCCTAATGATTTGCTAAAACCGCAATCCTTCTGTACGTGCTTAAAATATAGCAAAATTATTAAGACAATCATTTTTGGCACCGGCTGGAATTAAAAAGTCAAAAAGTATATAGATATTGTTAAACTGTTGTCATAACGCAGTAGGGAGTCGGAATCTTTGCGTGCTTGTGGAAGGAGAGACTTAGGTGAAGGCGACGGTTGTTATCTTCAAACTACATTTCAAATCCGGTGAGAATTTAGTTTAAGCATTTGTCTAACTGTTATTTAGCAGCCATCTTAATCTCTCAATTTCAAATTTAAATGATCTACCTTTGAGCTTTCGCGTTAAATACCCGATCCAGAAAGCATATACCGAAACGTGAGAATGAATTTGCCGGAATGGGACTGATAATGATCCTACGTCTGAGTTTCTTTATCGTGTAGTTTTAACGATGTGTGTTCGTCTAGGAAGAAAAAACTCATTCGCATTACTAGGAATTCCGCTTCGAATGGACGCACCACTGAGATAGCCGTCTCCTAAGCAGGCAGAGCAGTCCTTTTCTGTGAAGTTTGAAATGGCTCTCTCAAATGACCACGAATTTTGGTGGAGTTATCATGCAAACCAAACCTTAGGTGGAAAAATACAATCTTTATCGTGATAAAAATTTTGTCTAACGTTGGAATTTATGAGCCCTCTAATCTATACTAAAGTCACCTGTCAGATATTGAAGAACAACAGCAATAGGCGCGATATTGCAAACAAAAGAAAAATTGAAACACACATTAATAGTTTCAAGACCAGTCCTCCAGATTTCACCATGTAAACGGTTTTTCTCCTAAAACGTCGTGACTAGCAACGCAACCGTAAAGTTAAATAAGTGACCTAAATCAAGGTAATTAATGGCAATTTGTGACAGCAGATCACCGCGTTGTAAAGCCATTTTGCATTGATGTCTGTGCAGCCCCGGTTATCGTCGAAATTGATCAATACGCTAGTGGGAACACTTAGGGCTTTCATATTGTAGTTCATGACGTATTACCCTCAGAAAACTAACTTACCCTTAATTTTCATAGGTTGTTGATGTTTGGCGGAATTCTCAACGCAGAGTTCCGAAAAGATGCGTTCATACGCTCTCATTACATTCCTAATATATGGAAGAGCACATTAAATAGTCCAATATACATTTTTCTAAGTTCTCAGGCGCGGACAAGAAGGATTTTCATTCTACACAAATGCGACGCGTAAATATTCGAGTTCAAATTTTTCACCCCAGTGGTGCCGTAGCTGGACCCGCCTGAATGCCACCCACATGCAACGTCGTTTTTGGACATGAGGCTTTGGTATATGTCATTTACTTTCATCTGTATTGTCTTATGTGGGATGCCATTCACGTTTGATTTAACTTCGTTCATGCTTGCTACATAAGCATATTAAATTGGAATAATTTATCAGAAATATGTGCTTGTACAACTGTCTTAAGTTACATCTATCTCGTCACATTATAGCTCTGGCCAATTTCTGGAAAATTTTGGTCGAAAGTGCTCATTTACTTTGCTGCTTTTAGACATCTTTTAGAGTCATCTGATTCCCTTCATGAGCTTATGTCTCATTCTTATCTTAATCTTCGATTTTGTTGCCGGTTTGTATAAATATGACAGTCGTGAAAGGGTGATGGCCGTACCCTTGTGAACAGTATATCTCGATACAAATTCTTTTTCGGGAAAGGATGATAGTATTCGTTTTTCCTTGTTTCCTCGATATCTCTGTTTCAATCTACGAGATGGTTCCGATAAATCTGTGTCGTTGAAAGGCAGACGCTTCCCTGTGGGCAAAATATCTACTTTGGCTGGTCATTCCGGTCGCCACACATATTGTAAGCAGCGTTGAAATACAGCAATTGAAGCGACATCTACGATTTCTAATTACGATTTATGTACTCAGATTTGGACATATAGCTCCATTAGTTAAACAGATGGCAGGTTATGAATCACTGTGGCGTCTCTCATGCTCACAGACCTTAATCTAACAACACGGTTTTCCACAAACTCCTCCCTTTGACTGTGACGAGGAAACGACAGTCTTTTTATGTGGCTTGTCAGTCGAAACCTTAGAAGATCAAACAAAAGCCCCGTTGTTATTCTTCCTCAGTGACCGCCACGCGCTCCAAAAGACAAAGATAGTATTCTTCGAATAACACCCTCGTCGTCTAATTACTGAAATATCCTGCTATTCCTCCGTAGTCTTATGCAGCAGGCATCGTTGAGGCCGTCCATTTCAAACGCATCCACATAGAAAGCGCAGTGGTTAACGGGAGGAAATGCTTCTAAACTTTGGGCTTTTAGAGGCGACTTCTGTCAGAATTTGTTGGATACAAGAAGAATGTTTTGGGCTTTCAAATTTTGCTCGATAACTGAGCACACTGCCCATAGATTCCGCATCTACCATAGTTTTTATTCACTTCTCTTAAACGAGGGGTTCAAATAAATTTCCGACGTCTCAGATAAATAAGACATGTTTCAGGATTTGGGTAGCTTTCTATAGTGCATAGTTAAAAGCTAAACGCTGGAGTTCCCTTCGTGTTAGTTTCAAACAAAAGATTGAATATTCAAAATACTAGAAAGTCGGAAGCTAAAAAAATAGGGTACAAGCAGTTTACTGTATACAAGCGCGCATGTAATGCTGGCAGCTTTATTATTTTGCTAGTTCTGAAAGAATAGCAAGGCCAGATCATATATTCACAAATTATTTGAGTCTAAAATTACGCATATTATGCAAATAAAAGTAGCTGCCGTGTGTTAACCCGAATACTTTAACCATCTCTAAATGGCCATCTAACACGTTAGTTATTTTTTGCTTGAACACAGCAAACGGAATAGTGGGTATATAGTAAAAAAAACACACTAAATCGGTATGTTATTAGATATTGAATTTAACGCGAATTCTTCATTTTCGAAAATTTTTCCGGTATTGTTTATGGCACACATACAGGAGATTCGTAGGCACTTGTACACAAACTTTGTGCAGTATCACCAGCCAGACCAACACTACTGTTGTCCGAAGATTTGCATCGCAACGCGTTTTCGGACCTAATGTCCATATCATCTACCATCCGTCTTTTATACTAGCCTAAAGGTCACCCTACGATTTAATTAGCTACTTGTTAAATATTGAGTCAAGAAAGGGAGATGATTTATTTCCTTCCGCTCAATGCACTCTGGTCTAACAGGATATGCAGCTGCAATCCTGTATTATTACTGATCGGTCATTAAATGCTGACAGAAGCAAATTGCTACCATCCAGCTCTCGTCACCTCGGGGTTCTCACACTCACTTTTTTGATAGGCTATTACCCATTTTTGGGACTTTTGTTTTAGCCAACGAAGTGCTTTCGTATTTACCAAACGTATCCTGGCCGATGAAGGGTTGGGTTTATAATTTGTGACTCGATATTCATTAAGAAAGAGCTAAACACATTAAAATCCCAGCCACCTGATGCAACACACTATTACATGTCAAATAATTTTCCTGCAAATAATGCAGTCATTATCATCTGTGGAGTCCATAAAAGTAATAAAAAA